AATCCGCCTCCGAACGATTACCTGCCCACCAACCTTGGGACCATGCAATCGATCTCATACCTGGAGCACCGGCAACCATGCGTACCAAGATCTACCCCATGTCCCTAAATGAGCAAGAGGAGTTGGATCGCTTCCTGGAAGAAAATCTGCGGAAAGGCTACATCGTCCCCTCCAAATCACCCATCTCATCTCCAGTCTTCTTTGTGAAGAAGAAGGATGGAAAACTCCGTTTTGTACAAGACTACCGGAAATTGAACGAATACACTGTGAAAAACCGCTACCCCCTCCCATTGGTTGCTGATATAATTAGTCGGCTCCAAGGGGCTCAATATTTCACCAAATTTGATGTCCGCTGGGGTTATAACAACGTTCGAATTAAGGAAAGTCACGAATGGAAAGGGGCTTTTGCAACCACATGAGGGCTGTTCAAGCCTAAGGTTATGTTCTTTGGTCTCACCAACTCCCCTGCAACGTTTCAAGCACTCATGAACGCTATATTTGCGGACCTCATTGTAGCTGGAAAGGTAGCGGTTTGCCTAGACGACATCCTCATCTTTGGCAGTGACCTTTAGGAGCACCAACGAGTGGTATGGGAAGTACTAACCCGGTTGGAGAAGCACGATCTGTACCTACGACCGGAGAAGTGCGAATTCGAACAACAACAGATTGAATATCTAGGCCTTATTATATTGGAAGGGGAGGTGAGAATGGACCCTATAAAGGTAGCTGCAGTTCGCGACTGGCCAGCCCCCACTAATCTTTGAGAGCTCCAAGGATTCCTTGGATTTGCTAACTTCTACCGATGCTTTATCCGGAACTTTGCAAGGATAGCCAGGCCCCTGAATGACCTCACCCGGAAAGACATATCCTTCACCTGGATGGACACCCAGCAACATGCGTTTGACACCCTCCAAGAGGCCTTCATCTCTGCACCCATCTTAGCCCTATGGACACCAGATAGACCGACCCGAATCGAGGTAGATGCATCAGGCTTTGCTACTGGCAGTGCCCTCATGCAAAAGCAAGATGATGGCCAATGGCATCCCGTTGCCATTCGATCAGCCTCAATGCAACCAGCAGAACGAAACTATGAGATCTATGACCGGGAAATGCTAGCCATTATAGAAGCGTTGAAGGACTACCCCAGCCATTCGATATCATCACTGATCACTCTAACCTCGAATTTTGGCGCACAGCTCAAGACCTCACCCACCGCCAAGCTCGCTGTGCTCTATACCTTTCATGGTTTGACTTTCACATGATCCACCGCCCTGGTAGAACAAACACTCAGGCTGATGCTCTTTCCCATATGGCAGCCCACCAGGTACTAGACAATGAGGATAATCGGCAGCAGACAGTCCTTAAGCCCAACCATTTCACCAAAATTGCAGCCTCTATCCTACGGAACCCCTTAGAGGATTGCATCCGGAAAGCCTCACAGCGAGAAGCCCAGGTACTGGAAGGTCTCAAAACAGTTAAAGAGCATGGACTAGAGTGTTTAGCCAATGGAATTGCTGGATGGGAGGAGGACAACGGTCTAGTCTACTACCAAGGATGAGTATACATGCCAGCAGGCGATGACCTACGCACTGAAGTACTATGTCAATGTCATGACCATCCCACTGCTGGACACCCTGGGCTCCACGAAACACTCGATCTAGTTAGCACCCACTTCTGGTGGCCAACACTGCACTCCTCTGTGGAGAAATATGTAGAGGGATGTGAGACATGCGCACGCAAAAAGATCCAACGACACCCACGAGCTGTAACTCAACCCTTAGATGTACCTTTGGGCCTATGGGAAGAGGTAGGGGTGGACCTGATAACGCAGTTGCCTAACTCCCAAGGATACGACGCAGTCGTAGTCTGCACGGACCTCTATGGGAAACAAATTCATGCTCTCCCATGCACCAGCTCCATTACTGCGGAAGGTGTTGCTGACCTCTACTACAAGGAAATCTTCCGTCTTCATGGACTCCCCCTCCACTTCAAATCCGACCGGGGGCCTCAGTTTGCAGCCAAACTCATGTGATCCCTACCTGCTAGACTGGGAATAAAATCAGATCTTACATCCGGTTACCGTCCTCAGTCTAATGGTCAAACCGAACGTGCAAACCAAGAAGTAGAAAAATACATTCGACTCTATGTAGGTCGTCGACAGGATGACTGGGCAGAGCACCTTCCCATGGCAGAGTTTGTAATCAACTCGCGAACCCATTCGGCACTAGGCATGTCCCCATTTGAGCTAACCTATGGATATCTTCCCTTGTTCAACATCCCAGTTGGACAACGCAGCGGGATCCCAGCTGTAGATGACCATATACGGATACTCCGAGAAGCCCGACAGGACGCAGGGGCTGCCTTGCACTTAGGCAAAAAGCAGCAAAAGGAGGGATACGAACGAGGAAAACGGAAAGCTCACCAGTTCAAAGTCGGAAGTTTTGTCTGGCTCAGCGTGGAAGACATCAACCTCCAACTATCCAGCAAGAAGCTAGGAGATCGGCAGCTTGGACCTTACCGAATCTTGGAGAAGATCGGACCCCTGGACTACCACCTTGATCTCCCTATCTCCCTCGACCGCATTCACCCTGTATTCCATGTTGACAAACTCTACCCCTGGAAAGGTAACGCTATCAATGGAGAAATTCCAACACCACCAGAGCCAGTCTACCTAGAGGATGAAGATGAACCGGAATATGAAGTAGAGGAAATCCTGGATAGTCGGTAATGAGCTTGCCTTGTTTTTGTGTGAAAGAGAAAGGAAGGAATCTAATGGGCACTCCAACCAACCAATCTAATACACAATATGTGAGTTCACTGCTATCAAATTTATTTAATAGCAAGGGGTAGCGTTGGCAAAGGTTCCGCAAAGCTTTGAGAGCTAAGTAAGAAGCTTTGATCAATCAATTTGAATCGTTCTAAGGATTCGATATATTCCTTTGATCAAGGTAAATTCAGCATGATTTGTGCTTTGGTTTGTATTGATATGGGTATATCAAGAATTGGGGGTTTGAATCAAAGTAAATTAAAACCGAAACACACAGACCCCTACGGAGGGCTAGAACTATGTGCTGGCACAACCACACAGCGTGATTTGCCCTTAAGACCAACAACTGATCCTAAGTTTGAAGAATACCCAACAACTGGATATACTTCTCGCAGTCACAAGGAGCAGAACACAATGTTCCTATATTCACAAGTGCCGGGCCTGAATGGCTGCTAGCGAAGAGGCTTTAGTCTGGCGGGAGTGTGTCTTTCCTTTTTACGGATTAGCACTGCAACGTCGTCCCAAAATCACTTGTATTCCAGATACATTGGATCGCTATTTATACATACAGAGGATAGAATCGCACAGTACAATTAATTTCATACAATAAACGTTCGGAACTGGAAGGAAACTTCTACACTCGGTCAGATACCATTTAATTTGAATCTACAGGTCCTTATTTGGTCCATATTGGTTCCAAGATTCTAGTATACCTCCAAACATAGGTAGGTACTTCGATATTCATTTAATTTAATTGTTTTTAGAGAATGACTCGAATGGTGTTCAGCTGTCATTGCTGTTCAACACTCATTTCGATTGTTTGTCACCTCGTCCGGAGGCAAATCAGTTCTCCTCAATTCTAATCCTATCAATCTGATTTATCTGAATTAAACTAATTGCTTCTCTCTTTCAATAGACACCCATTGTGCCTATACTCTATCAAGGGAGTTACGCATAGTATTCATTTAATTGCATTCTTCAATATTTTCTACGTCAAGACTCTTTGACATTCATTTGATATGTCTTCGGAGCCTCGCAGTACTTCGATCGTTCTTCTAGTCATTTTCCTCAATCATGCAACCTGATTGGTCTATTAGACTAAATCGCAGTCTTTTAGATTAATGCATGATCTTGTTCTAGAAGGAGTATTTGATAATTCCTGAGTTCTAGAAAGTCATTTTGAGTCAATCCTCGGCTCATGGTCACTTGAGTAAGTTCTTCCAAACTCCTGCCAGTGTAAGGTCCAATAAGAATACCCTTGGTATGTCATACGTGAATGGTCATCCTTCGGATGTAGTCCGAGTCTGGTATAATCCTGCTTGACAAACAGGTAGACTGCTATCCGAAGGTAGTATCGGGGATGGGTAAACTAACCAACTTGTGGTAGTATGGGTATATGGTCCCTTCAACTTATTAGACTGATTCAGTATTGACTTTGACTGTCAATCTGGGTCTCAATTACAGTCCTCTCAATACAAATCTATACGTGAAAATGTCACAATTCACAGCATAGACGTCTAGCCAAAATTTAGGCATGTCATCAGGTGCAGTGGAAGAGGTTGGAATACCTGGTTAAGTGGAAGGGCTACAACGCAGGGCATAACTCCTGGGAACCAGCACCCAACCTCAGCCATGCTCCGAAGATTGTTCAGGCCTTCCACAAGAAACACCCCACAGCAGCAAAGGCTTGACCATCGAGGGCAATGGTCGTAAGAAGGGGGGTAATGTCATCAAGTACGTAGCCCCTATCATTTTCCTTTTCTCACCGTCTCGACGCCCTTACTTGTACAATTACATCACTGTCAAATCCCATCGATTACTGATCCACCTGACTCCCATCATCAATTACTGATCCACCTGTTACCCTTCTCCTTTTACTGGCTTCCACCACCTTCCTTGTTCCTAAACTGTACAGTATTACATCACTATTTCTCGCAGATTGGATTATGTATATAAAGCCACTCCCTCACAGCCTGGTCCCTCATCTTGACCTCTCTGTCATTATCTGGGACCAGGTATGTGCTTACTTATTATTACCTATGACTACAATACTCAATATATCTCTGTCATTATCTGGGACCAGATTGCCTGCACTCCGCTTAGTTGCTCTGCTTAGTTGCTCCGCTTCCCTGTTCTGCTTAGTCACTCCGCCTTCGTCGCTTTATGACAGCTTCCTCATTTGATTGCAAGGGCATAGGGATAAAATAATCATCATCGGAATCCTGGAGGGAGTCTAAATCACAACCGCCGTCAGGATCCAGGTCCGTGCAAATCTCCCATTCATCAGCAACAGAATCAGGCCATATCTCTCCCAGATATCCTCATAATTCCTCCTTCCTACCGCTGTCCACACCCTGATCCCTTCTACAAGATCCCAGTAATAGACACGAGCACCTTTTCTACCTGGAGGTCGATCCCTCCTAGCATTTTCTTCCTGCTGTAAGCGAGACTGATGTTCAGATGTGGCCTCAGATGCAATGACTTTGAGTCTATGGGCTTCCCTGCGTTGGATGAATGCAAATGGGTCCTCATTATTTCGGGGAAGACTTCCACCAGTAATACGTGGATAACGCAATTTAGGCTTATGAGTAGATCCTTCTGTTTTGTTGAAAGAATGGTCTTCTGACGGTGGCGGATAAGGAGTCTGTGTTGCAGAAAGCATGTCAACCGTGGTAGAATCGGGAATTGGAAACGTGATGGGATTGGGAAACGGTATCACAAAGTTGGAAATTTTCGGGACAGACCAATTATGAATTTGACCCCAGTATAGCATCACAGGCATTTTGGAATCAAGAAACACAGGGAGCCAGGGAAGAAACCCAGAATTGTGCACATCAACAAATGCACTGACCCTTGGAATATTCATGATTTGGTGAAAATACATGTGGTGAAAATACACAAGCCATCCAGAGCTGATTGACATTTCTCGACGAAGTAGCTCTTGCCATTCCCACTTTGCAGGAACAGGTCCCCGGCGAAGTTCTGCATACTCCTTTTGTCTCTTTCCCAAGAAAGAATCGGGCCCGTTAGGTGGAATGTGCAAAGCGACAATATCAACCCATTTGTTTTCCAACTGATACAGCATTTGGAGGAAGAATGAGATACAGGGAATCAAAGGAATGAATGCTTGACGAGATCGCATTCCTGCACTACGCGCCTCTGCTTCCGTTCTCCAATGTGCACAATACCCATAAAAGTTTGGTAGTGGCCAAAGGTGAAAATTGTCAGGAATTGCTAGTCGATTGATCTTCATACAGGCACGTTGAAATGCATGCATATTTCTCTCTAACAAGTCCCAATCTTCTTGTAGTGACATGTTGAGAGCGTAAGATTTTGACATGCTGTCTTTCTCAATTGGTAGGGTACTGAATCCATGGTCAAGGCATTTCAAGAAGTGGAATTTGAATGGGTTGCTGCTGGGAGCGAATCCCAGGAAAGGTATTGAGGAAGTCACCCAGCGTGGTGTATAGAAATCAAGGAGCGTGGCTGAGTTTGGACTGGGATTCAGGCTTCGCTCTCGGGAGGGCACGATGGGAAAGTTATGTGGCCGACGACTGAGGCAAGTGAAGACGTCGTCGTCTATCAGTGCATGGAAGCTGGACAGGTCAGTTTCCTGAAACATTGCAAGCATACAAGTTGCCTCTATAATCAAATAGCATTAAGAATATGCAATTTATTCTAAAACAGGTACTCACTTTCCATGAGACGGATGTCACTTTTGCGTTTGCTAGTATGATTGAGGATCGAGAGGCAAAAAGGTCTCTTGGGACGTCGTCAAATTCCGGTGTGACTAGAAGAAGAGTTGATGCCAACGATGTTGCAATGGGTTTACTAAACATGTCTATTCGTAGTTATCTCAATGCTTCAAGTCCAGTTTGACCAGAAAGAAGCCTGACAGAGATCTAGCTAGGGAGGACTATTGAACTCGGGATTCACAAAATGTTAAGTCATGTATACCACGTGCTTGAACATTTGACCTAATAATCGACCATTAATCTCCATTAAACTTTATCACTAGTACTGCCTTCTCCCAGCTGCTTCAGGTTACAAACTGGGAGTTAGCTCAAACCGTATATGCTGAGCCTGGAGGACCAGAATCTTTGGGGAACTCTAAAAATCTCAAGTCCGGTGGCCAATGCATGAAAAAGAACCACTGGATGTTAGGTGACGTAGGTAAAGAATGATTAAGTATCTCAAGGAACGATGGGTGAAAAGAATGACAGAACTCTAGGACCGTCAAACAAACGTAATGATGTAGCTGATAGGCAAGGATGAATAGCCTGAGAGGTGTGTTCAAATTTTCAATGGAAAGCTAATGAACAAAAACTGTGGGCATACAGAATAAATACAACGAGAAGGATGGCATAGTGGGGGAGGCATGGTGAGACGTGGTCAACACTGGACTATAGATTAGTGAGGAAATGAGGCGCATAGGTAAAAGAGAATGAGGTGGAGAAATAGGTCACGATCTAGCACTGTACTGCAGATAAGAACGAAAAGCAAAGGCCTAACCCCTGACGATGTGCTTCAGAGGAGTTCCTTTTTCAATATGACCTCCGACATTCCTTGAGAACCTATGATAAGCGCGTTAGGAACTGCATGACTCCGGGGACATGAAAACTCTTTACTTACGCAGTGAGGACTCGTTTAATTATTTCATCCCTTTCGTTATTCTCATACCTAGGCACGCACTCTAAGAACCTTTCTGGCTCATAGACAGAGTAGAAGAATATGGCGATCTTGCCCTTGAATTTCTCCTTCACGCCATAGGTTTTCAAAGATTCGTTATTGTTAGGAGATCCTTGATCATATGTCCCACAGACGTAGTAACGTCTTTGATCAACAATGACTTTCAACCTGTAGATGTCATCTGCAATCGTGTCTGATGAAAACCCTTCACGGACATTGATGAACCGTTGGTGCTTGTGGCAGCTCGAAAGGATGGATGGAAACCTCTTGTTCTCGGCTATCGCACGACCTATTCCGAAGTAGAGACCTGCTGTCAACCCTTCTACCTGCAAAAGCAAAATGTGAAATTATTTCCGATAAAACATATGGCTTAAAATATTGTACCTTATCAAGTTCTTCTTGGGGCATAATCCCACTGTTGAACAGGGTGATAAGTAAGGTGTGACTAGGAGAAAGACGTCTCCTTGCGACAGGCGTGCCATTTCTGGAGGAACAAATGGAACGAGACCGGGTTCGAGATGAAGAAACCATATCGAAATGTAGAGCAGGCTGAGTGAATGCAACCGAATTGCGACGAGGAACTTTTTTTTTTGAACCACTTCTTAAATACTTTAGCACGCTTTGGGAGGAAGATTTTAATCACAATTTCTGTATGAAATCGGGACTGATGGGGATATGCAAACCTAGAAAAGAAATTCGCTCTATCAAAGGCGGCAAACTTGATTTTAGAAACTCAAACATCCAATACTCCAGGTGATGCATGTTCTTCATACATGACTGACTTTAATTAGACATGAACCCTAGTTTTGCTACTTGGGTAACTTGACCTTGATGAACATATCGCAATACATTGCCGCCATTTTTCACTGTTGAGAAAACTTATCATGTTTTATTTTGCTGATTGAGTGGATTCAACTACATACACTTCTTTGTAATGCATAACCTAATTTATTCCTTTATAGGGCTTGTTTTGAAACTCTTTGTGATATCAATAACAGAATCAAGATCATGAAATCGCATCAATCTGGACCTCGAGCTAAACCCAATAAGAGAACAATAGCGAGTATTAGCGAGATTAAGCGACCTGCAGGAGGTTGTAGGAGGTTGCAGGGTGCTGGCTAATGTAGTCCAGCTGGAGCTTATCGATAGCAAAAGCAGGCCGAGCTAGTCATAACATCATCGGTCAAGACTGCAGTATTAGGAAGGGGACATTGTGGGGTAGCCTCGTGTATATGTAGTATACAGCCATTTACCTTTAGAAGATTGCCATTGCCTGAAACGCGCATATTCGTAGCACCGGATCCGACATATCTATCCAGGGCTTCGAAGCTAGCACACTGGATAGAAATATATACATATTATCACTACATTACTACATGCAGGTATATCGTGGCTCGTCAAACATTTGCCTTGAGTATTAGATTGTGTTGTTTGTATTTGATCAAGTTCTAAGAAAGACTTGAAGATATCTTAGACCCCAATGTCTTCCAAGCTTGCTTCATCCACCGCAACGTATTCGTCTTCACAGATGAGAGTTTTGAGCCAGGCCAGTCTCATGAACCAATTTCTTTCTTTCTTGTTGAAGCACCTACCTGATCCTGGACATCTGTATGGTCCCGACGGTCCTGCATCACGTCTGTTCAGTGCGTTTGCGGATACAACACGCGAAGAAATCACAACTGCATTTAGTGGATTGAGCGTCATTATCTGCTTGATGCTTGGGTTTCCGATACTCGTTGGTTACACCTATAAAGTGGTGAGTAGCTTGAGACTCTGTACTATGTTTCTGTCAGAATTAATAACTTCGATTGAAGCAGCTCTGTTATGTGATGACGCAAACATATTCTTGGATGTTCGGATATTTTTTGTGGACCACCAGCCCCATTGTCCTTGCGCAGCAAGAAAAAGCCATTGCACGGAAGGAGGTCATGATTCTGCAACAGACTCAAACTCTTCAGTTGGACGTCGAGATTGCACTTTACAAGCGTCTTGCTGGAGTTCTTGAGCGTTCCGCGGCAACTACTCAAGACAGAGCCAGCGACTTTGAGATCGAGAAGGAATTATTTGTAGAAGAGCTTATAGGGGATGTTATGTTGTAGTTCAGGTTAGCAGTCACCCAGGTTTCATCTGTAAGGTGAAAAGATATAGGTCAGCAATAAAGAATATCTTAATGAGGGATTAAAATTTACCATTTCCGTGCTTTAGAGTTTGTAATTTTTCGGCATGCTTTACCCCTAAGATCAAAGCTGTAAGACGTAGATTTCGTACTAGAATGATAACAAGCTCAGAGATGCACGAGTGTAAGGCAATCGTCTATATTCACCTAGAATGATAACAAGCTAGGAAACAAGTAAGTAACGAAGCAATAAGTATAAGTGAAGTATCAGTAGCTCACCTCAGAGATGCACGAGTGTAAGGCAATCGTCTGAGGTGGCTGTATGTAAACTACGAGTTTATATACACTACGAGATGTCGCATTGACCATCGAGGTCGAAGCATTTGATACAGTAAAAGACCATATGAGAACAAAAGAGACAATAAAGATAATAGAAAAGGTACGACCCGTAGTGGGACCGTCAACGGTCACGGCGTCGGATCATGGGTCAACAAGGACCTGCCAGGCTTGATTCCAACACTCCCCCTCAAGCTGAGCGGAGTCCGAGTTCAGAAGCAAAGTGCTTGACCTTCGCGGAAGGTAAGGCTTTCGTAAGGGTATCGGCAACCATATTGTCGGTAGGGCAGTAAATGAGTCGAAGGGAACCTTCAGAGATGATCCAGCGGATGAAATGGAAGCGGATGTCGATGTGTTTCGTGCGTGCGTGGTATTGGTGATCCTTCGCAAGTGCGATCGCGGATTGATTATCGCCGAAAAGTGTCGTAGGAGTGGTGAGAGGCTCGAAGACCTGGGAAATGAGAGAGCGCAGCCACAAGGCTTCCTTTGCTGCGTGTGTCGCGGCGATGTATTCACTCTCGGTTGTGGAAAGAGATACAATCTCCTGGCGCTTGCAACTCCAGGAGACAGCGCCGCCGTGAAGGATAAAAGCATACCCACTGATTGCTCGTCGATCTTCCGCCATACTCCCATCTGCATCAGCAAAACCAACCAACTCCTTCCCTGTCACTCCTCCAAACGTCAACCACAGTTCCCTTGTGCCCTTCAAGTATCGAAGAACTCGTTTAGCGGCTTCCCAATGGACAGGTCTAGGATTCTTTGTGAAGCGCGAGAGGGTGGTGACCGAGAATGCAATGTCGGGGCGAGTTCCGAGACAGGCCCACATCAGAGAGCCCACGGCTTCATGAAACGGGACATCACGCATCTGTGCGAATTCGGCAGTGGTGGAAGGGGATTGAGTTGAGGAAAGGCGGATCTGGGTATCCATGGGTGTGGAGATGGGCTTAGCATCCTCGAGATTGTAGCGACGAAGGGTAGAGTCAATGTATGAGCGTTGAGAAAGGGAAATGGTGCGTGATTCTCGGTCGCGTTTGATCTCAATACCGAGAAGCCAATGAAGTTCACCTAGGTCCGTGATCTCGACGTGTTTGCGAATGCCGGTCTTGAAAGAAGATATGAGGCCAGTCGACGAGGCAGCGATAGTGCAGTCATCCACATGAACAAACACAATCGCCAATCCTTCTCCATTCCGTCGAAAAAACACTGCCTGATCCACTTCACACTGCTTAAACCCCAACACCTCAACCATAATCTTTACCAACTTCTGATACCACCTGCGACCACTCTGTTTGAGACCATAGAGAGTTTTGACGAGACGGCAGACTTGGTTGGAAGAATTCGGAGCTGAGTAACCCGGAGGCTGGCGCATGTAGACAACTTCGTCTTCGGTGAGTTCGCCATTGAGGAAAGCGCCCTTGACGTCGATTTGATGAAGTTCAAGGTCTTCGACAGCAGCAATAGCGAGTAGAGCACGAATGGAAGCAAGTTTGGCGACGGGTGCAAAGGTGTCGAAATAATCAACGCCAGGTACCTGCGAGAACCCTTGAGCAACGAGACGTGCTTTGTATCTGACAACGTTGCCAGCAGCGTCTTTCTTCGCCTTGAAAACCCATTTTGAACCAACGATGTTGGCCTCGGCAGGCTTCTCGACGAGCTCCCAAGTCCCCGCAACCTTCAATGTGTCCAACTCCTCCAAGATCGCCTTCTCCCACAAAGGCCAATCTGGACGTCGTTTCGCCTCAGCCAAATTCCTCGGCTCCAGTGCCTCTATCTCACTCATCTCCATCGCCAACGCATACTCTTCAACAAAGTCCTCATCCACCATGGCCATCATCCAGTCCGCGGTGCCCTCCCCCTCAAGCTCAAGTGCCTCGGGTTCCTCTTTGACAACAGTAGGCGGAAGGCGGATTCCTTTGGGAATGACAGGGTCGGAGGGTCTTGTGGATGCTACAGCATTACCAGCAATGATGTCGAGGATACGAGCGCTAGGTTTGCGGGTGCGCTTTGCAGAAATTTCGACTGTAGCGGTAGGAATTGGTGGAGGGACATCTGGAATGGTAGGAATTGGTGGAGGGACATCTGGAACGGTTGCACTGTCGAGTTCTGTAGGAACGGGGGCAACAATTGGTGTGGGTTTGGAGACTGAAGTAGTGGTGGAAGGTGTTGGCGTAGTGGTATCGTCCTCGATAAACTCCCAATCCTCCCCCTCGAGACGATCCGCTACCGCAGACTCCTTTCTGTGATAAACGTTTCGTTCGACTCCCACACTCCGCGTGTCCGGCCAATAGATCCTAAACCCCTTGCTCGAGTCATCCATTCCAATCCATCGTCCTTCCTTCACCCTTCCGCCCAACTTCGTCCCTTTCGGCTTCTCCAACCGAACCCAAACCTTCTCTCCCCACTCCCGTACCCCACCCAAATCCGGTTTCTTCCCGGTTGCAGCCTCCCATGGTGTCATACCATTTGGTAGAGCCTTGGTGCTCGTGCGGTTGAACAACCACACAGCATGACGAGCTGCTTCACCCCACAACGTCCTTGGCAAACCACTGGCATGCAGCATTGCCCGAACCTTTTCCAAGATCGTACGATTGAAGCGTTCGGCAACTCCATTGTGTTGAGGAGTATCGTGGACGGTGAGTTTCTGACGAGTACCGTTGTTCTTGAGATGAAGTATAAACTCCTTCCCAAGGTACTCGCCGCCACGATCAGAGTGGAGGACTTGGATAGAAGATTTGTGGTGGGTACGGATGGATGCCTCGAACTGCTTGTAGGCTTCGAAGGCTTCATTCTTCTGACGAAGAAATTCGATGTGAGCGAGGCGAGTCTTGTCGTCAATGAAGCTGATGTAGTAGCGTCGTCCCTTAGGTGTAGCAACCGGAGAAGGACCCCACAAGTCACTGTGGATCTCCCCCGCAAATTCTGCAGCACGGTCTCCTTCGCGAACCTTTGCCACAGGCTTACGAGTAGCCTTGGCATAGACACATGATTCGCAGAAGACCTCGTCTCCCGACGATGTATCCAACTTCACTCCGGTGACAAATCCCTTCGCCACCAACTTCCTCGCTGTCTCGGGCGAAATATGCCCCATTCGACGGTGAAACTGATCCAGTGTGATCGTTTCCACAGCGTGTGCAGAGTCAGTCTCATGCACCACGCGGTACAACCCATTCCCATCCTTGGGAATCTCCCCCACCTTCTCCCCACTGGGTGCACGAATCGTGCACTTCCCATCGCCGAAGGTCACCTCAAAGCCAGCTTCGTCAAGTTTGCCAATGGAAATGAGGGTGTATCCGACCTCAGGTGAGTATAGGACTTCGGTAAGATGGAGTTTAGAGGGATCGTCGACACCATTAGGTAACTTGACCGAAAGTTCACCCCTCTTGTCCGCGCTGAAATGCTGTTTGTTCGCAGCGCGAAAATGTTTCGGAGGGATGTTGGTGATGCAGGAAAGGTCACTGTGGTAAGGGGAGATATGACGGGTGCAGCCAGAGTCGTAAAGCTCGGCTCGAGTGGAGGTGAGTGGTTCGCTGAGATTAGCGGTCTCATGTGTAATGTCGATGGCTTGGAACACAGGGAGGTCATCCTCAGAAGATCGCACACTCCCATCATCAGACTCCCTGCCAACAAACGAGTAAACATCGCTCCAGTCGGCGTCTGACAAATCCTCGACATCACCATCATCACCTCCCACGTTGGAGAACCAATCTTCCCCAACACCGCCATCATCCTCATTCTCCTCGCTGCAAGACTCATATATTAAAGATGATATGGAGTCTGTGACGGACTGGAGACTTGGCATGCTGTCATCATCAGACAGCTCCTCAACACCGAAGGCAAAATCATCCTCCGAGTCATCAATCTCCTCTGCAGCATTCGCCGCGCCCCCAGGCTTGGAGCGGGCTTCGTTCCTTCCAGTTGAAGGCTTCCGTGGCTTGGGGCACCTATCCCGAAGATGTCCTGCTTCGCCACAATTCCAGCAAGTCCGCTTGGACGAGCTACCACCCTTCCCGCCTTTCCACGGAGTCACAACCACAGCCTCGTCCTCATCCTTTGAGAATTTCGCACTGGTACCCTGGCGGCGAGCACGTAGGACTTTCTGACGCTCATACTCAGTTGAAATGATGGATACCAGAACGTCCGGATCGATAGTTTTCGAAGGACTGAATTGTTGGGCAGCGGTGAGTTGATTCGAAGCAAAATTGGAAAGGTGAATGGGAAGGGAACCAATGATGGTGGAAAGGTAATCCTTCTCGCTGATGTCGACACCCACAGCCGCTAACTTCTCCCTCTCCATACGTAGATCATCGAGATATGTACGTACATTGCTCTTTTCAGGGCATTTGGACTCGAGGAAGGCGGTGCGAAGGTCTGTCTGTGCAAAGGCTCCTTTCTCCGTGAATTCCTTCGTCAGGGCTGCCCAGGCTTGGGCAACGGTAGCCGAACGACGAATCTTCAGTGCAGCGGAATCGGGTATCTTCTGTAATAGGAGATTGTGGGCGGCAGCTTCGTCGCGATCCCATTTCACTGATGCAGCCAGCTGCTCATCAGTGAGAGGTAACGGGGATCCGGTTGCTTTGTCAAGCGCGGGAGATGGCTTGATAGAAGTGCCGTCGAAGTGACCCCATTTACCCTTGGCTTTTACAGCCGCGGTAAAACGAAGATCAAAGATCGCCCAGTTGATGCCGACATTGGAGAGTTTGGGAACATCACTCGGGAGGGAATCAGAGTAAGCAGTGACAGAAGCCATGGTGTAGACAGCAAAGAATTATTGACAGTTATGATTCTGGAGCAGCGGGGCTCAATAACCTGTAAGACGTAGATTTCGTACTAGAATGATAACAAGCTCAGAGATGCACGAGTGTAAGGCAATCGTCTATATTCACCTAGAATGATAACAAGCTAGGAAACAAGTAAGTAACGAAGCAATAAGTATAAGTGAAGTATCAGTAGCTCACCTCAGAGATGCACGAGTGTAAGGCAATCGTCTGAGGTGGCTGTATGTAAACTACGAGTTTATATACACTACGAGATGTCGCATTGACCATCGAGGTCGAAGCATTTGATACAGTAAAAGACCATATGAGAACAAAAGAGACAATAAAGATAATAGAAAAGGTACGACCCGTAGTGGGACCGTCAACGGTCACGGCGTCGGATCATGGGTCAACAAGGACCTGCCAGGCTTGATTCCAACAAAAGCACACCCTTTAGTTGTACCCATGATCACTGCTTGGCCTTGATTTATGAAGAGGACAGGAAGGGGAACGTTAGAATCCTGAGCCATATTAGTGGTACTCATTTTCTTGAGCCTTTCAGGCATGACTTTGAACCATGCAAGCCCTACGCAAGTATCCGTCATGACAACCAATTTCGAGTCTGGAGATTTAGCTGAATCAGTACTAGAGATTCATCCGGCAACTGTATACGACTCGATTCATGGTATATACGAGACATTCTCCCAAAATACCTTCTTGGGTCCTCCAATTCATATGAGTCGTCTGGGCCAAAAGATAATGTGCTCTCCCATGTTTCAATATTGAATTTCCTAAAGGTCAAAAATATGAAATTTGTGAATACATCGAGGAGCTTCACTCACCAAAAACCATTGTACAAATATCCTATGAGACATTGCTGCTCATTTTCGAGAAAATGTACCCCTGTTGCCACAATTGGATAGGTATCACCTTCATTGGGCTCTCCAAATGGTTTGGGGCGAGACAATCACAATATTTCCACTTCCCTGAGGCTGTACATTCAAGTCAAATTAGATGGTGTACTACCATGTCAACAATTGCACGTACTCTTTCCGAAGAGGAGCACATCAGCGCCAGAACAAACAAGGAGATGGTCACCGCGCTGATTAAATACCATGGTTTGGACTACTGCATCAGTCTTGTGGATGATTTCACTTTTCCGTCGACGAATCCACCTCTGGTTTTGTTTTAAGAACATTTATCGGAACATTGAGAACATGCCACATACCGTAGTTGGGTAAAAGCATATCACATCGCCGTCCATGGTACCAACAAAGAGAGCATCATCTCTCCATGTGACAGCGGTGAAAGGACAGTCACCCTTTTCTTCCCAAGCCGTTGCAAATCCACGTTCTAGGCCGTAGATGCGTACCATGTTATCATTGCTCACACTTGCCAAATAATGCCTGTCTACTGAGAATGCCAATGCATGTACACAGTCTGTAGGGGCCTCTATCGTGCCCAACTAGTGAGACGACATTGCCCTTCTGTCCAAAACACTCCGAAAAAAACACTATGATCGGATATATATTTGGCATAAACTGCAACGACACATTGGAGTCCCTGATGTGGGAAGGACCAACACAAACAGAACTATATTCAACAACTCTTGGTAATATGTAAGTGATATCCAATGAAAATGAACATGCAAGGTTCTATGGTTAGTGAGACAGAAGGATGAATACAATGCCTTCTGAAAGAAAGGATGCAGCTGACCAGTCAATTATGAGAGCGCAAGCACTGTGAAGTTTGCAAATATGACAGCTGCTTCTCTAACCGCTGTATATCTTCCCTCTTTTCGCCTACTAATGCAGAAATTATAGAATGCAGAGCTTTCAGCTCTTCTAACGGTCGAATGTATGGAAAACTCTTAAAGATATGTTGAGAGATATACACATAGCAAAACATTGAAGTTTATACCTTGTTAAATTCTTGAATTTGTTGTGCTACGCTAACTATCTTGGCACGAAGGCATTCTATTTCGCTTGAAGCAGAAGTGATTTGTCGCACAAACTGAGCGATTTCAGCTGCCTTGTTCAATATGGTGCGCACCTGTGGAAGAGACATTAATGGTCTAGAGAAAGGTGCAGGGAATTACTTCACTCTCTAACCAGCATCCTGACATAGCTTGCTTTCCTTCGGGCCACGGCTGTTCCTCAAAGGGACCTTTCCTTTCTTTTCCTTCTGTTTTGACCCCCTTTCCAAATTTATATGTTTACCCTGATTGGGAATAAAGGAGGGATTGGTAAGGATGATGAATTCTGCGGATATGATTGGTGAAATGTTGAATGGTCCTATAGGGTGAAAAAGAGGACTACCAACAGAGTTTGACTCTGTGGAGTACCGAGCGGAGTCATGAAGAGTTCGAAGTAGTGTGTTTATTTCTTATTGACTGCATGTGACGCGTGACTTCGTTGCTACTCTGTTTCTAACTCCATCTAGTCCGGTTCTAAACCGAACATAGATATCTAATGGACGACAAACACCTTGCTCTAATGCTTCAATGTTCCTTTAGAATGAGATGTTTGTGATAGCTGCTTTATCTCGCCCTCATGTTTTTGTTGTTTGTACGTCCTACCACTATCCTGGCTGCTATAAAAACTAAATGGGATTGTTTGGGTAGAGCCCTATCCTTCCCGATCCTTCAATATACATGGACACTCGCCACACCCTTCATCTCAGTGATACAGCGAGTGTCAACTGTCGTGAAGAATTCCAAGGTCTGTTGAAGATGCTGCAAGCAGCAGTCCACAAGCACGAGCGTGTCTTCTCGGAATGTTACTCACGTCTTGAAAGCTATAAATTTGTTGAGGTATATCTGCACATCCAATTGACTGTTACACGCACTAATTGTTTTTGATCTTTGACGCACCAGGAACGACCAAAGCCTCTCGCCTGCTTCTATCTGGAAATCATGAGACTCAAGACTTTGGTCAGAAAGCTATCGGCCGAGGTACGTGTGGCATTCAATGAGGATGAGACAGCTCCACTTAAACCTCCATGGATTAGATTGCTCGCGTCAAACAACCTACTGTCCATATCAAAATATTCCTTCCGTGTCTGCCCACAACTTGTGAGCTTCTCGTCAATGGGTTCGATGATTCACACGTGCAACTCTGCAAAGTAGACCGGCAGATCTCCCTCGCGGTTGTTAAAGCTATAGCTTGCAGCAGTAGGCCAGGTGCTATCTCTCTGGAAGACCAGGTACGCTCGCAAACTTTTGAAATCCTTCTGTGACTGATCGTGACCCTCTGGTGTTCAAAATCCAACAATTTTCTTCTCTTTTCTCGCCTATGTTTGTTCAGACTTCTAAGATTACTGAGATCTTGAAAACTCTACTGCGTCAAGTAAGTTTTGCTCTGTAGTTCCTATTGTTTGTACACTCAGAACTCTTCAGATTACCCACATTGAAATCATAATTCAATTACTGCCCTCGAGAAGGAATGCTTCTAGCAAGTAATTGTTTTTTGCACTCAGTAGCACCTGTTTAGATAGCGCGTAGAAATAAATTTGACTCAAGGCTACGTATGTGCTCTCTAGAAACTGAATATAATTGTCTTTCATACTGACACCTCGTGCTGATTGCTAACAGTATTATGTACTCCTTCCATTGATTTGGCGATGTACGCGTCGGTTAAATGAACCTCAAATGAACCCTAACTGATTCACTGATAAGGTTACATGGTTTATATATCAACCAGCACTGAGAATCTGACTCTTTGTCGCCCTTTGTCACAAAATGCTACTTCCTGTTGTAAGCGGCAATGCTGAAGATACCAGTGACTCTGAAACTTCTGCTATGGACATCCAATCTTTGGAACCTGGCCCGAGTGCAGCATCCCAGATTTTGACACACGCTCCTTCGCAATCTACTCCTCAGGAGCCGCAATTCACAGTACAGATCCCGCAAAGTCTGTTCACGGTGCGAGTTTCACAAAGAGCTTCAACGATACAATGGACAACAGGGCAGCCTCCTGCTCCCATCCTTCCTAATCCAAACCCTCTCCCACTCCAGACCTTCCCACGTCAAACCCTCCCCAAACGCCAGGCAACTCAGATGCTACGATGGCTGATCCTGATACCAATCCAACAGCCGCACAATTTGGAAGTGACATATCACTACAGGTGTGTAATGTTTACAGTGAATGTATTGGACGCGGGTATATAAAAATTTGTTAGCATCCACCTTCCAAAAGGAAAAGACATGCAGTGTCTTCTCAACCCATCTTCAACCAAGATCAAGAGAGCGGCGAAGACAAGGTGAGTATCCCGCGCTCCCTGTTCCCAGAGATTCTAAACCCTCCATCAGTTGAAAACACTGCTTGAACATCAAACCAAGCTGATGCATACCCTTTACAACGGTATATGGACATCAAATGCTGAAGTCGTCAACAAGCAGGATGCAAAAATCAACAAGTTGACTAATAGCGTTCAGCAGAATTCGACCATATTGGATTATCTTCTGGAGGCATTGGATATTCAGTCAGTCAAGAGCAAGGATATGGACATTGATAGAGAGGAGCGCCATCAGGGTGACAGTGACACCACTGGCACAACAAATGCAAAAAACAAACCGGATGGCAACCACACCGATGCTGATGACCCGGGAGATTCGACCCAGGAAACTCCTTTCAGCTATGCCTCAAAAAAGAAAGGAAGTCCTTGTTCAGGAGCTGTAAAGCATCGGCCACAGCAAGAGCTTAAAAACAAGGTACGTGTATACTGTTATGACCTTTTCTCAACAGACATGATGAGTTACTCTGGCAGGAGACAATTCGTCAATGGTTCAACGAGGTTATGGAGGGAAAAGACCTCTACAAAAATGAGGTTTTCGATGAGGAAGCCAAGAAATTTGCTGAAAAATTCAAGTTGGATCTACTCGCACGCCCATGCACTGTTGATAATTTTCGATATTGGATCGCAGGTGTTCCTAAATCAGCGTGGAACAAGGGCGCATCATATGTTCTCATAGATATCCCCGTGAAGAAGAGGCTAATCACCAAACCCAACATTAAAGCTCGTGATGCCTTGCGTGAGGCTTTCTTTGTACAATTAAAAATGCTCCATGGAATCTGGCTGGAGAAACAAAAAATGCTAGAGGATAAAAATTTGCCACATGCGGTCTTTGCAAAGAGATGGCAAAGGAAAAACACTGTGAGCTTTTATTCAATAGCTTTTGATCAACGTTGATACGAGACCTCTGCAAAGTTGTTCCAACAACGAAGGAATGTGATACTTGTCGTTCCAGCGCTTGAACCCTATCTTGAAGACTTCGACGAACTAGGGGTGGTAAAAATGTCTTCCAACAAAGAGGAACCTGACATGGATGAAGCAAGTATGTGCTACAACATCAAGGAGCCATGCTGGCGAAGCCAACAGCTCAAGAATTGGGTCAGGCTGTTAGACTATTGTCATCTTGAGGGTCCATCCTCTTTTGAAGGACCCCAGTTCGGTTTCACGCGAGGAGCTGCACCCCGGCTCTGTATGGATAATAATGACAAGAGTTCAAAGAGCAGATATGTTGTTGGGCTACCTGCCCACTTCTACAATGCAGAATGGCTCGAGAAGCAGGAGCCTGGCTGGGCAAAAGGTGGGACGGGATTTGTCAATGAGTTGGTCCACCCTTGTGCACCTAGGAAATTAGTTTTCCCTGCGGATCTTGCCAGGTGTGTACAAATTTTCAGAACCTCAAATTTTATCTGATGATCTCCCTCAAAGAACTTTGGAACAGGGGAAATCTACAGGCGTAAGCACCAGATAGATTGTATTGTATCGTATAGCGCAGGTGGTTAAATATAACTGGCGCAATGGCAGAATGAAAGTGTCGGTCTTGCACCGTCTCTTGAACGAAAGCAGTGGAGTGAATTGAATCGGAGACATAGGCCCAAAACATAGTCCGTAATTATGTAAAACGAGAATACATGGATTCGTAATTTCGATATATGTAAATGAGTTGAGTGACATCGGCTAGGTTCGTTACCGTAGGGTATGATTGACGCCCTGTAGTGCTTCATTCCTCTAGTTGACATTCTCAATCGCAACTCATCACCTTTTTAATAGAGGAATTACTAGCATAACCTTACGGAGATGGAAGAAAATAGATAATTTTGGTGTATCATCCTATCCAGGTGAGTACACCCTGTAATGTTTGATACTCACAATTCATGAATATTAGTGTACCACAAGCGCAATTGCAATGGATGCTAAACAACCGAAATCATACAGGCAAAAACAGGTGCAGAAGGTACTCATAGTCTTCAATCCTTCACGTTGATTTGCAGAAAATCTGACTACGTACGCAGTCTGTTCTAGCACTTTGGTATTTTGATCAATCGATAACCAGAAGTTCATCATGCTCAAAAAGGCACTCGATGTTGCTGGTGGTGGATTTCCCCCCGCTATTCTTTCCAGCAAAGCGGACGCGCACATTTCTGAACCCTCTGATGTCCTGAAGATTCTATTCCAATACGTCGCAGCAGATGGTCCAACCTTAGGGCACATCAATTTCTTCTTACTGTTGAGAGTGGCCGAAGCAGCAGAAAAATATGAAATGTACCAGGCAATTGCTGCCATGCGACCAGAATTCAGGTAACCTTGGTCAACTCATATTCTCCTCCATTGAAATTCATTTTGCTTGACTGAGGAAATTCTTCCACAGTCACTCCAGACAAATCTTCCACTTTGCTTTAGCTAATTGGGACATGTCTTTGATTGAGGAACTCTCCGCTTACACGGCAAACATACCTATGGAGGAGGTAGCTTTTCTAATGAGGCCGTGTCCTCGCATGTTCAAAAGATGGGTACGTTCGATGACATTTGATTGACACAAATATCAATACCACTGTAACAGTGCTTATGGAGACATTGCCACCTTGGAACATCATCAAAACTCTGGCGGACAGTTCGAGGGAGGGAAAGATCATCAATGATCAAAGACATTGGCAAGCTTACCTAGTCCTGGGGTACTTTCACTTTGTTTCGGACATGGATCCACTGAACGGCTCCTTCTTGGGCTTTTCGTATAACCTTTGACCGAAACACCTGGTCATATATATCTCTGCCAAAGAAATGCATTAGATAGTGACAGATTTTTATCAAATCATGCCCTATATCTTTCCGGAAATCAATCGATCAGTTTCTCAGTCGACAATGAATGGCCATCTGAGGCGTCAAGCGTTTCTGACACGCCTCTGAATCGTTTCTTCAGAGTGGGAGGATTGCTTTGCTGATCTTTTCCTTCCTCGCTTCCCAGATGAAACGAGCTGCCACTCCCAGGAACGGCTTGCATATGGCAAGGAGATATTCTTACATCCAATAATCGGAGGTCTGGAAAAGATTGTGGGGGACAAGGGCGTACGAGCAACTGGCTTCAGGCTCTCTTCCATTTCATTTGGTGCCATTGAGAAGCTCCTTGTGAAAGAATATACATGGCGTGACAGGTGCACTCATGGAGTCATAGATTCCAGAGATTTTATGTAGCAGTATTGATCGAGAGTCCTGCACAACATAAGATCTACAACACCGTATGTTAAATAAGAAACTCTTAAGTCTCTGCTTTTGGATTGTTGAGAAGTTTGGAAGTGAGTGGACTAATCCAAGGAAGTTTCACAACCGGACTTGGTTGAACTTCATCGTCAATCGTGTCTTCGAATTTCAATTTGGCCAATAGCTAAATTGGAAGATGTGATGGAGATAACTTGCACAAAATTCATGTTGATCTATGACCTACCTCGTCCATGTGTTTGAAGGCGACACCATCTCGGTGTATAGTTGTATTCTATGATGAAGAAAGTGAGAGATGTGCTTGACAAAGACAAGCATATTCAGCATACCATGATGTGTTGTCACCTGGTTTCAAACATATGCTGTGAACGCGCCTCCTCTGGATTCTCCCCGGCTACAAGCAATACGTCAGTGCTGGTAAAAATGGCGGGATTGTGATGGTCGCTGCGATCAGGAATAGACAATAGTGGAGTATCGGGCTGGGCAAGTGTTATTCCTTGAGAGTTGTGACCATTTAAAGAGTGCTTTACCAAATGCGAGTCCGAGTTGTTGACCATTGCGTGCATAGCAATAATGATGATTTAGTGGTGCGACTTTCGAGGTCAGGAGCTGTGAGCAGAGTTTGATTCTGCAGAACATAGTAGTACAAGAGTAGAGTAAGACAAGTGCAAAGCCGAGTAGTTACAAACATCGGCAAGGCAAGCAGACATGACAGTATTTGTGAGAGTCTGCTTTGACCTCCCAACAACATATGTATTTTCAATCTATTTTTTTTTCTGCTCCTTCACGAACGTAGCGTTCATTCTTACAATAATGTGACCCGTGCCCATAATGTCTTGAGACGTCTTATGTAGACGCAAATTCATTTAAAAGACCATTACTGTTGTCCTTCTTCATGATCTTGTTGGTGATGGTGTCGAAAATTTGATCCCATCAAATAGCACTGCTATAGAACAGGTATCAATTCTCGCACTTCCTAAACCTCACCCTTCATCCCCTCTGGCTGCCCAGACGCTTTACCTCTTATTTTTCACCACCATCCTATTATTACTGCACGCTGTTGCCATCGTACCGCTTCCGCTTGCCTATAGCGTGTCAATGAGGGAACTTTGAACTTTCGGTTACAAACTGTTTGTTGGCGACACTTTTTCCTCACGGCCAACTTAAATGCCTTCTTACGCGCCTCGCCTTTTGCTTCATCTCACCATGTCTGCGCTTTTACTCAAATGTCAGGAATCTTCAGCGGCTGGACATCAATAACGTTCGCCTGTCTGTAACCTACACAGCTCACCTTATGCCTCATCCCGACGTGTCTACTTGCAGGTCCTTCCCTTCAAATACCAGGAACTCTCAATATCGGTCCTATCACCGCGCAGACTTTAGCGTCTCCTTCCCCATTCTTCCTCCTCACCCAGCACCTATGCGTTGGTCCTCCGGGGAGCTACAACAACGCTACGATATGCGAGAGATTCGGGTGATTTCAGATGCTGATGGTCCAGGATATCTATATGCCTACATCAATGGTGATTCCTGGAAAGTGGGGATGTCACACGACTTTGTATGATGTCAGGAGGAGTGGGATAAAGAGTGTCCTTGCCCATGGAGAGCATGGTTTCCGCCTATCCGGGTCGCAAACAGATGGAGAGCCGGTGAGCTTTCTGAATCTTATAGTTACTTTCTGTACATCTCATCGGTCTGTTCTAGAGTCCTTGGCACATCTTCTGCTTGAGATGGAATGTCTTGACTGCCCGCGAATTTATTGTCAAAACTGTACGCATTTGCACTTCACTTTCTCAGTAGATAATCCTATATATGTCTAAAATACAGGTCAGCGAGCGCACATCGAAAAATTCGTTTTCTATGGACCTTTGCACGTCGTCTGGACCACAATTGTTTATCCGATCTTTTTGAGGGCTGCTGTTTCGTGAAGGTACGTGGTTGTTCACTTTCTAAAGCATTTTGGTTGACATTTCGATAGTTTAAGTAGATCATAACATCAAAATTGTGTCTTCTTGTTGACAATCTTGAATCTGGAAGTAATGTTTGAGTTGTAATATGTACAATACACAGACTAAAAGATGGGTGTCTGTGACTTTTGGTGCTCAACAGGTGAATACTTATTAGTTATTCTAGAATCATCTAGATACGTGCCAACGGAACAGGTCCTCAATGGACGAACAATCAGATACACAGAAATTCTCAAGCAGAAAGTCCTCAAGCACTTGAAGATCCTCAAAACCCTCCAAGCTCCAAGATACTAGATCCATGTACATGTATATTTCGAGTAGACGGATCCATAGAATATGATTGTCCTTCGTATGTCTCCAGCTCAACACATCACATATGCCGACACATCACGTATTCCGACATCAGGGACATCCCGACCTTTTGATATGTCGACTTCGGTGACGTCCGAACGTCTGGACATCCCGACAACAGGTACGCATAGGCTCTGGGAGGTTTTTCAGAAAAACCTTGCCTTTTACATGAGGCAATTACTTGTATAATATTTGAATTTTTCCTAGCAATAACATCGAGTGATCATTCAGTACAACCTTCAAATACCACCTCCATTTACTCTATTGGGATAAATTAAATGACATTCAAGTGACCGGGGCCACTAAAGTCTGAACAATCGGTACAAATTATAAGATAATTTCCTTAAAGAAGTTCATTGTAGGATATTCTTGTTAATCACTTAATATTGACTCCATAAGATGCTTCTACTTATGGAAGAAAAATTTAAATATTCTCCCACCCTGAAATTGAGCGGTTTATGTACCAAACCTCCCTATATATTCAGCCTTTCCATAGTGAGGAAACACATCGATCCCCGCAGTGTTTTCCTGGCCAGGAAATAGGGAAATGTTGGGGAGAAATTGCTGATTTCCCCTAAGTACAGTGATCTTGGAGTCCTTGATACACCTGTGACAGTGTTATGTATCACCTGGATAAAAGCTACCCGGGATGATCCGCGCTAGTGGTCCACGTGCTCAAATTTTGTCACACCAAACTATCTCAGGCATTCCTACTGTACTTTGGATTTTACTGCCAAATTTATTATCAGAGGTGATAGATGACTAGGTCTTGTACATGTACCAGTACTTCTTCCACTCATAATGCAATTGCTTACATTACTTACAATCAAATTGGAAGTTTTTCACTCAAAATGAGTTCTAAAATCTGACATATCTGCTTATATGTCTGCAGTACTGATAGCTGACACTTGGAAATTTTAGCCAAGCATGCATATTGCATTGTTTTGAGATACTCAATACAGAAATAAATGTCCCTATAAAACAAATCTACAGTAAGTGTATCAAGGACTCCAAGATCACTGTAATTAAATACTTTTCCCTGAGGATATTGATCAGATTTCACATAAAGAAACCAAAAAGTTTCCCATTTGATCAATATTCTATTGATTGCAAGAGAAATTTTGTATTTTCCACAAGAGAAAGATATTCTTTCCCATAAAGTAAAGATAATCTTTTATGTTAGGTAAATTTCACATTGCACGTTTATGAGATTTTCAATTTTACCTTGGCGAAAACAAATAGTTGCAGGATCCTGAGTAATCTCAAGATCGGAAGATGCTGCTCAATGTTTTTCAATGCCAAAGATGTTTTCAAATGCTTTCCTTTTCCGTGCCATGGCTAATAAATCGATTATAAGGGGATCATTTTACTTGTAGTACTGCTAGCTTTGAGCGGCTATATTACAAGTTCACGTAGATGCTTGGTGTGCTTGAACCTATTTGTTTTTGCCAAGGTAAAATTGAAAATTTTACAAGCGCGCAATGTGAAATTTACCTAACATGAAAGATTATCTTTACTTTATGGGAAAGAATATCTTTCTCTTGTGGGAAATACAAAATTTCTCTTGCAATCAATAGAATATTGATCAAACGGGAAACTTTTTGGTTTCTTTATGTGAAATCTGATCAATATCCTCAGTCCGCTTCTCCGTTACAACCTCCCACACTTGAGGACATTCACCTCTCAGCCCCAGTTCCCAGGCGTATACCTTCTCAGGAGCTTACACATTCGAGACCCACTTCAACTACGACCTATTCAATCTTACGTTAACGTTCTAGCAAGTACAACTCCTACTACGCAACACTACCAAGTTCCTGTTACTTCTACCTCCACTCCCTACACCTTAGGGACCTCCCTGGACCTTATAGAAACCCCTTCAAGGGTCACATCTCTCAATCCCAGCCACTACTAGGTCATTCCTGTCCTCGGTTGCGGTTCCCGTAGCTCTCTTCAAGCTCCAGCCTGCTCCTAGCATGCTACAACATAAACTCACTATACCAAAACCTACCCTAAGACCAATTCTGACCCATTTCTTGCAGCAAATGGATATCAGGAGTCCATTCAACAAGACTCTATCCAATGTAGCATGTGCAGCAAGTATACCCATACTGCCTGTCTTACAATGTGGTTCTATGACAAATCTGCTGAGGAGTTCCTGTGTCATGAGTGTGATGTACAGCAAGAATATGACAACTTCAATCAATTCAGACATGCACTGCCCTATTTGCGTAAACAAAAACTAAACACTGTCAAAAACCAACTTGTGTGAGTAGTTTCTAATATTGTATAAGTTCTATCTAATGTAATATTCTGTATAGCCCAAGGAAGGGTATACTAGTCCAATGTGGAAATGTCTACTATTATCCAGGACACCATTGGGATTCTGATTTAGAGATTGGGATTGTACAGTTGTGGTGGAGTATCAGAAGTAGTTTGGTCAATCAGATTTTGAAGAATGATCCACTAAAAAATATTGTGGATGGCTTGTGGCAGGATCAAGTAGGCCATTGACAGATACAGGTAAGAGTTTATCTATGAATGTAAGCAATTCCTTCTCACTATTAAGCTTAGATTGGGCTATATACATGACCCCTTGAGGAGAAACTAAACCAACAGGAGGATGCTGATAATATGCTTTTAGATCCCTTTTCAGTCAAATGTACCAAGGAGGTGTTTGAGGCACTTAATTCTCACCAAAAATTCCTAGGTGAATTGGCCATAGCACCTGAGGATTTTTCGGCAGAAACAGTCCCTTGATAATATCTTGGAAACTGTCAAGTCCATGCCTCGGGCCTCCATTCTGCCGCTCAGTACTCCAAAGATCCACTGTTTATTGTAATCTCACTCTTATTGTTCTTTCTCGCTACACATACCCTTTCGTTCTAGTCCCTCCTTATTGTCTTTTACTTTACCCTGCAGTTACTACACATGTAGCTCCTACTCGTTAGTCTAGCGCTCCGCACCAATGCACCGCTCCATAGATATAAATACTGCTTGTACGCTACTGTAGCTCCTCAGTTTAATTATCAACTTAGATCTCCCTTCTCAACTTAGCCCTTCTCTAAGTCTTCAGGCTCAACGCCTTGAAGTACGTTCTACTCCACCTTAGGACTTAAATGTTCTTTGGTTCACTCCTCGTCACCGGCAATACCGCTGCTCTGACCTGGCTGCTACTAAGCTCCTCCCTTTGATACTCTTGATCTCCAGGGACTAACGGCGTAACGGCAGTGTTGTTAATA